CTCCAGCGGCACGAGCCCGTCGCGATCGCCGCGGCGCCGCACGACTTGATTGTGGTGGAGTTCGCGAGGCATGGCGACGAGGCCAGCAAGTTCACAAGTGACGAGGTCGCCGAGATGCAGCGCCGGGTCGACGGGGGCCGGCGTGTGGTGGTTGCCTATCTCTCGATTGGCGAGGCAAGTGAGTTCCGCGCCCATTGGCGCCGTGAGTGGACCCGCAGCGGTCGCGCACGGGGCGCGCTGACCGGCGCCGCACCGGCTTGGCTGGGACCGGTGAACCCCGATTGGCCAGAGTCGCGGAAGGTCCGCTACTGGGACCCGGCGTGGCAGGCGATCGTCTTCAACGACGCGCGCAACGGCTGGCTCGATCAGATCGTCGCTCAGGGATTCGACGGGGCGTACCTCGACATCGTCGATGCGTATTACTTCTGGGGCGCGAAGGCGAAGCAGCGCGATCGCCGCGATGGTGATCCGATCGACCAACAAGACGCCGCGCGGCGGATGGCGGCGTTCGTTGTTTCATTCACCGCGCACGCTCGGCAAGTGAACCCCAAATTCTTTGTGATCCCGCAGAACGGCGAGTTCCTGTTGAACGACTTGCGGCACGGCAAGCATCCCCAACCAGATGACGCACAGCTCGCCGGGGACTATCTGGACACGATGGGCGCGATCGCGATCGAAGACACGTACGACCGCGGCGACGAGGATGAGAACAACGCGCTGGCGACCGACGGCGACAAGGTCGAGGTGCTGAAGTCTGATTTCCTAAAAGAGGGCAAGGTGGTGCTCGTTGTGGATTACGTTAACGATGGTGAATTGGTCGCTGACTTCTGCCGCCGCGCTCGTGCGGACGGGTTTATTCCGTACGCGGCGCCGACGCGCGGGCTCGACCGTTTAGGTCCGCCGGGGGGTGGCTAATTTAGCCGACGTGGCGTTTCAAAATCGGTTATAATGTGGGGCTAAAAGGCGTCGTGCGGAACGCCTTTTTCCTCCGGCAGAAGGCGACCGATGCGACACGGCTTGCTCCCCCTCTTAGCGGTCCTGATGGCTGCCGCGTGCCATGCCGCGGAGCGGACGGATCGCGCCGCGCCGATCGATCGTGAGGACCCCATTGATCGTGAGGCGTTGGTCCGGCGGCACAACATCGTGCTGACCGAGTTCCACGACGACTCACCGCTGGCGGTGGGCAACGGGACGTTCGCGTTCAACTTCGACGTGACAGGTCTGCAGACTTTCCCGAGCGAAGAGCCGGGCGCCGTGCCTCTAGCGACGATGGCCGAGTGGGCATGGCATTCGTTCCCCGGCAGCGAGGACGTGCCGTACGAGGCGGCGCTGCGTGAGTACACCGTGCACGGCCGCAAGGTTTCGTACGCGACCGATATGAAGAGCGACGCCGCCAAGTCGCTGCGCGCCAATCCCCACAAGTTCAACTTGGGCCGCATCGCCCTGCGGCTGACGCACAAGGACGGCAGCGCGGCGATCCGCGACGACATCAAGTCACCGCGGCAGACGCTCGACCTGTGGACGGGCGAAGCGGTGAGCGAGTTTGAGTTCGATGGCGAGCCGGTGACGGTGCGGACGGTTGCTCATCCGAAGATGGATGCGGTGGCCGTGTTGATCGAGTCGCCGCTTGGCGCTGAAGGTCGTGTGGCGATCGACGTGACTTTTAGCTATCCCACGGGCGAATGGGGCCCGCGGATGGATGACTGGTCGAAGCCGGAGCGGCATAAGACAGAACCGTTGATAAGTGACGGTAGCGTCGACGCACTCTCTGTGCGTGAGTTAGATGGGTCCCGCTACGGTGTCTTTCGAACACAGCGACACGTCGACGGCGATGTTTACGGCGCCGATCCGCATTCCTGGCGGATTGGATGGCGTACTGAAAAGAATGAAGTGTTGATTGCATTCACAGAAGGCTCGATCAGTGGTGGCGGCGATTCCAATTACGCGGCAAACCTTCAAACCTCCGCCGACCATTGGAAAAATTTCTGGCAGCGTGGCGCGGCGATCGATCTGTCGCAGAGCACCGATCCGCGTTGGCGGGAGCTGGAGCGTCGTATCGTGTTGTCGCAGTACCTGACGGCGTTGCACTCGGCGGGGACGATGCCACCGCAGGAGACGGGGCTCGTGTGCAACTCTTGGTTTGGCAAACACCATCTCGAAATGCACTGGTGGCACGCGGCGCACTTTGCGCTGTGGGGTCGGGCGGACCTCTTGGAGCGGAGCCTCAGCTGGTACGAGGAGATCCTGCCCGCTGCGCGACGCATCGCGGAGCGGCAGGGTTACGCGGGCGTTCGCTGGCCGAAGATGACCGATCCCGAGGGCGTTAGCAGTCCGAGCTCGGTTGGCGAACTCTTGATCTGGCAGCAGCCGCACCCGATCTGGCTCGTGAAACTGCTGTACGACGCGGACCCGACGCCGGAGACGCTCCAGCGCTACTGGCCGATCGTCGAGGCGACGGCCGACTTCATGGCGGACTACGCCCACTACGATGCGGAGAACGATCGCTATGTGCTCGGCCCGTTACTGGTCGCCGCGCAGGAGAGTTATAGCGGGCTCAAGGAAGGCGGCGTGCTCAACCCGACGTTTGAGCTGGCCTACTGGCGCTGGGCGCTGGGTGTGGCGAGCGAGTGGCGTGAGCGGATGGGGCTGCCGAAGAACGAGAAGTGGATTGAGGTGGCGGAGAAGATCGCGAAGCCTACCGTTCGCAACGGTGAGTACGCGGCGATCGAGACGGCGCCGTACACGATCCGTGAGGACCACCCCTCGATGCTCGCGGCCTTCGGCATGCTGCCCGACGTGGGCCTCGTGGACCGCCAAGTGATGGACCGGACGCTTACCGGCGTGCTCGACGATTGGGACTGGCAATCGACGTGGGGTTGGGACTGCCCGATGGCGGCGATGACGGCGGCGCGGCTAGGCCGGCCCGAGGACGCGGTCGCACTGCTGCTGCGCGACACGCCGAAGAACGGCTACCTGCCGAGCGGCCACTGCTGGCAAGAGAACCGCCTGCCGGTCTACCTGCCGGCAAACGGCGGCCTGTTGTACGCGGCCGCGATGATGGCGGCGGGCTGGGAGGGCGCCGACGCGTCGCAGCACGCGCCGGGGTTTCCGGCGGATGGGTCGTGGGTGGTGCGATATGAGGGGATACGGCGAGCGGAGTGAGCGTCTGCTTATTCCCCTATCTTTTTAGGGAGGCCACTTCTTCGGAAAACGGGGGGAGGGTCTGACTTGTCCGTTACGCAACGCCTATTTG